GCAGAGACAACTGGTCCTCAAATAGTGATTCATTACTATATTTCAACGCTAATACCCTTTAAGTACAATTAAAGAATGTATAGGTTTTAATGAGGTCTCAACAATGGTATAGTCAAAACTTGTATACATTTAGACAAATTTTATAGAAAAACTGTTCTCAACTGGTGAAAAATGTGAATTGGCAATTTTATTGTAAATAAATGAGGCTTTTTTTCCCCAAAATGACTAATTTTCAAATAACCCAAGCAAATGGCTAAGAACACATGATTCTAAATTAAAGGGAGGAAAAATGGCTACTATAATTATTAGTGCCTTGGTGCTAATAACTGATTAAAATCCATTATTGAGACTTACTAGGTTAAACAATCCTCTGCCCATTATTCTTATAATTTACTTAACAAGAACCGTTTTCATTTAAAAAAGGACCAAGCATTAGTCTTATACTATCCAAATAATTATGAATCACAGAACCAAGGTATAACTTTATGAGGCTCACTAATCACAGAATTTTGGTGCTGGTAGAAATCTTACAGGTGTATCTAATGTAACCCCCTTATTTTATAGATAAGGAAAGTGAGGTTCAGGGAATGAAACTGACTTGTTCTCAGACAATAAGGCTGGCCAGTAAGCAAACCTATAGCTCTGCTCCACTGCTCCTATATGAGTATCTGCCAATATGGATAAATAAATATACTCCAAGGCATCTTCCAAAGAAAGATGTTTTTAATTACTTAATTGAATATACCAACATACAAGGCTCTTTTGAAAAGCCTTTCATTTTGTTTTCTATTTCACAAACAGCGATGGTATCCTTATTATACATATAAAAAAGGTAACTGAGGAAGAAATGAGAAGACCACCAGACAACACAGTCAGCATGAAACCCAAGTGCAACTACTAAAGCAGCATGTTTTTCCACGAAACAAAGAGTCATGTGGCATGCTACCTGAGAGGGAAACGTAAGCAAAGTGTTGAATCACTAAGATTTCTCTGGGTTGCCCAGGACCCATGCACATGCCAAGAACATAGGTGTAATAACGAAAAGGCTTTCTCGTAAGTGAGGTAAGTCAAATCCGCTGTTGACCTTCTCAGAGAGAAAACGGGAGAAAGATGATGGTTCCTTGCATGGCAGTCCTGAATCAAAAAGACTGGGAACACCAAATAAGATAATTTGCTAGCTTGTTAATAAGGACAATTTGGAAAAGGAATCCACAAAACCAATTTATTATTATATATGCTACATCCTTTAACTCTCTCAAGAAGACAGAAAATAGGACTTATCTCTACTTAAAAAGAAACTAAGTCTCCAGCAGTGGCATGGGCAAAGTTCCCCAGTTACTAAGTGGTGAAGTTAGAACTCAAACCCAAGTCCCATTGTCCTACTCTTTCCTCTACATTACATGCGCTTCCAAGAAGGAGGGCAAATGTGGTCCTTCAACATTAGCCTTCAAGTCCTCCTACATCATGATCATGATCTCAATTCCACAATTACAAAAAGGACTAAACAAAACAGAAGATACAATTCTCAAATA